CCGAGGGTTTCCCTAACACAACACCCTCATTTCTTCATCATCATGTTGAGATGCTATGCATGTATCTGCTCGTTGGATTGGTTCATGCCCACAGCTCAAAATATAAAAAGGAAAACTATTTGTGGCTTTTGTGCTGGTGGTAACCAGACATCGAAGTTGAATGAACAAGTCAAGACTCAAATCTGTTTGTGATGGAAAACAGTGTGGAAGTCCACGTCTGCCACTGAAAAGAGAAAAGAAACACAATAATGAAACTTAAAATGATTGTTTATTGTTTGTTTGTTAATTTTATTTCAATCATGTAAACAATATTCAGAAGTTCATTTAGCAAAGAAAAGAAAAAATCTATACAAAATAAAGAAAAATACATTTCAATGTGGCTTCACCTGTTCTGATTCAGTTACATATGGAAAAGGAGTTTAAGTTTTCATAATCAGCACTTTGTGCTGTGTTATAAGGACTAACTCTGAATTATTCTTTAAAATGATGACATTATGATGACATTATGATGACATTGTGAATAAGAAACACTTTGTGTTATATTAAGATACACATCTTTATAATGACTTTTTTTAAAAACTGTCAGGGCTTCGATATTATTGTGTTTGCACTGGAAGCTGTCTGGATAATGGCTGCACACAAGCATCACAGGTTCCTTCTGACACAGCAGCTGTTTCCCAGCTTGCATGCCAAAGTGTACGTGGGCAAGATACGCAAACCTAGAGCTGCTCCCAGAGTGTGAATGTGTGTGAATGTGTGTGAATGTTCGACAGAATGCCCTCAGGCACAGAAAAAGTCACTGAGGCTGGTGGTGTAAAGTGCTTTGAGAGCTCAAGCAGAGTTCAGAATAACTATATTAGAACCAACCCATTTACCACTGCACCATCCACCAGTCCAATTAAAAACAACAAACAAAAACACTCGTTATTTAAGATTTTATATTTATGAGGCGGGTTTTCATAACCATGATTAACTATATCATATATCAGAAACTATTGGTATAATTTATGTTTACAGATTATGACTCGATTTATTAATATGATGAGATTGTTACTGATGACACACATTTTCCATATAATAAGACAATAGGCCATAACTAGGTGAAGCTGGCTTAAGTGTTTGTATTGATTTTGATGGGGTCTGGGTGATGGGTGTGTAGCAGTCGCTTCTACAGTCACTGACGTGTACAGATCACCTGATCAGGCCTCCAGCACAGGACTCGGTTTCCCAGGTTACGTTGCTTCTTGTGTGTCCGCCATATTGCCTTCGCCTAAACGCGCTGGCTGGATCGTCTCTTACAACTGAAAATGTAAGTATGGAAAAAATGATGTTTCCAGCTGGGATCCCTGCTTCGCTCCTGTGTGGGAGGCTGTGATTAAAAAGCTCCAGGCGTCAGTTTGCGGTTGTTTCGCGCTGTTTTCTGGAGGCTGGACAGCCGCTCAGCTCAGGACAGCGGTGCTCGGCTCTTGTCTGTTGTTGTTTTCCCCTCTGTCACAGCCACAAATTACATTCGTGACTCCGTCCCGAGTATTTTACTGAATAACTCGTCGTGTGATTGTGTGTGCTATTTAAATGGAAACGAGATGAGTGTCCGCCACGGTCGTGCGGTCTTTGTCACGGTCTGTGTTCAGCTCCTTTCTGGCGTCAGCGCTGCGAGGAGCAGCTAGCCTCTTCGGTAGCCCGTGGTTAGCAGCCGAGCGCCGTGGGTTCATTGAAATCTGTGCTCGAGGTCTGCCCGTGAACCACAGTTGATGAGCTAACACTAACAACTTGGTGGAAAATTAACATTAGAGTCGACTCAGCTGCCTGTGCGCTTTAGAAAAGCCGTCTACATGCTAACAGCCGTAGAAACCGTGTCTAATCTGAATGTGCTGCACAGCGTTTTGTTTATGGACACAGATTAATGATTGCGGTACAAACACGTCATCGTAACGTGCTGGCCAACGCAGCCCCAGCTTTACGTCCCATTGTACTGTGTTTACTGATATTTTATTCTTCATATGTGGAAAGATTGTGTAGCTTGCCTTTCAAACCGCTCGTTGTGTTTTATGTGAACCACCCCCATTTTCACCTCTTTAGTGCTGGGGATCGCAATGCATTTTGGGTAGTCTTTGCCATGTTGTTATTCAGGCAAAACCAAAACAAAGACAGAGGCCAACAGGTAATAAGGAGCAAAGCTGCAAACACCCAAATGAGACGCAGCAGCGGCGTGACAAGACAGAGAAACAAGGCCAAGCAGGGAGGCACAGAAGTCCAACTTATTATTATTTATTATTACTTATTCAGGTCTCCGTTATCTGCAGCAGCTATTCTTTACATTATGAGAGTACACTGTAAGACAGACACACACATATACAATATCCTGACTAGACAAACCTCTCAGACCCACGACAGAACAGCCCCATATAACACAGATAACACTGCTTTCTTGTATCATCTGTACATAGACTGTTATTGGGAGGATCCATATGCTCAGGTTACACAAACCTGTGTCGTGAGCACCAAACACATCAGCCCAGTTAAGAATTAGAAATAATTTCCCATTTTTCAGTGGAGTACCACCTAATCTGCGTGGAGTCGTTATAGCGACCCCGTGATGTCATTTGTTTGCGTGAAATGTGAAATGCCTGCTGTTTGGCGTGTGACTTTTCGTCAGACACCACGGTGTTGTTTTTTGTGTTGTTGTCCACTTTCGGCTTGGATTGGATTATCGCGAAGGAGTCGTGACTCATCGAGCGACTCTACTGACCAGCCCATCGATGGCAGTCTGTTGACGACACAATTAGCTTGGCCAAATAAGTACTAAAAAAGTATCTGGTAACAGGTTCTAACACCCAATGGAAAAGCCTAAAAACCGAGTTGAGTTGAGCCAAGCCGATTACTGGGGTATTAGTACCTGTGTGGATATCAGTGAGAAGTATACAAGGGCTTCTGTATCCACTCATAATCATTTCATAGATGGGTTTCCTTTAAACAAAAGCATACAATTTCTCTTTGCACTAGCTGTAACCATGTAACAGTTGGATGTGTGCTTTAAGTGTAAAGATGACATCTAGTAAGGGTCACACTGAAGCGTCTAAATGTGGGTGGACGGTAGAAACAATA